TCTCTCCCTCTCCTTCCCTCTCCGGTGGCCTGTGCAGCAGGTGCGCTTTCTCCTTTCTGTTCAAACCCACCCACCCCACCCGCACTTGACACCGTTCTTGGACAGCCACCCGCTTCATCATCTGTTGTCCCCTCCCCCCCCCCAAGTAAACAAAACTCAGTAGTCGCCTGAGCTGATTTACAATGCAGAAGGGAAGCGTCTCTTTTAAATTATAATTTTTTGTGTGGGGGGTGGGGAGGGGTGGGTGGGTGGGAGGGGACAGGGTGGGGGCACTGCTGTTTTCTTATTTTGAAACTTTAAGCTAAGCATGTGTAATTTCTTGTGAAGAAGCCAACACTTAATGACTTTTAAAGTTGTTTACTTGTTTTAATTCCTTCACTTTTCTTTGGTCCTGAGATTGAGAAGAAAAAAAAAAAAAGGAAAAAAACAAAAAACAAAACCAATAATGAGAGAAGATGAATGGCAAAGGAAATGGACCCAGGCCTGCGTCGTCGGGGTGTGGGGTGTGGATGGACATGCACCCAGCGATCACAATCTTTGGAGCCCAAGCACTTTGCTTCAGAATTGTCATGGAGACCAGCCCTCGGCCATCCCAGGCGACAGAGACTGCCCTGCCTGCCTGCCCTGTGCTGATTTCAACCGCCCCGTTGTATGAGGAAAACCTGGAGTGGGGAGTGAGGGGGACAGAATGACACTGGGCCACCACCAGAGACGCAGGGAGTGTTCAGAGCTGACCCCCCCTCCCTGGGGACAAATGACCCCAGAGTGTCTCATGACCAGCAGATGCCATTGATGTCACCGGCTTGGCTAGGGACCCAGCGGAATGAAACAGGATGGGGTGGAGGAGAAAGGCAAGGTCCTGTTGAGGGGGGCGGTAGATGGCTATAGACTGCAGGGACACAGCAAAGGAGAAGTTTTGATGCGCCCTCTCGGTGTCCCCCCACAGCCCACCCCGAGGTGTACGGTGGTTCCAGTGTGCTCTTCCTTTCCCTGAGGGAGGAGGGTTGTCTTGAGTGGAGACGTGAGGAAGGTTGCATGCCTTCAGCACACCCTGGTGCTCCCTCGGCGAGAGAGCGGTAGTCTCGGGGACCCAGGGTCCCTTTCCCCGGGGACACGGGGCAAGGTACCTCCCTTTCTTGGCCCATTGTTCTTATTTTCTTGATTAAAAAAAAAAATTGTTTCCCCCATCACATTCAGTTGGAAGGTGATGCCCCCCGTTGGGCCAATCAGATCAGACATTTGAATTCTGTTCACCCGCACTTTAAAAAGCATTTGTTTGCATTGCAACAGAACGGCTTCTCAACAAGAAATTGCCGCCCGCGTAGACTTCCGACTGGCCCACAGGTGGGTTCGCGCGGAAGGGACGGCTGACACGGAGTGTCGGTGCTGCAAAGCGTGGCATTCACAGCGCCGGCACTATAAAGAACAAAGTAAAATAATAATTTATTGGACAGTTTTTTCTGCTGCCATCCAATTTGACACGAGTGCCTTGGGAACTGATCTTCCTATTTGAGTCTCTTGAGACAAATGCAAAACAACTTTTTTTTCTTTCTTTTCTTTTTTCTTTGGGAAATGAGAAAAAGAGAAAAAAAAAAAGACTTCTTAAAAAGAAAGCAAAATGAGAAAAGCAAAGTACCTTCTTTAGAAACAAACAAACCAAGCCACATTTCCATGAATTGAGAGAAGGGGGGAAAAAAATCCCGGTTGAAGACAGAGGACATGCAAATGCCATAGGACCCAGTCCAATGAGAAGTCCCGCCCAGCACAACTTGACGTTCATTGGCTGAATTATCCTCAGCCCCTTTTGGTTTGGGGGAGGGGGGCAAGGCTGCTCAGATGTGGAACGGAGGTGATTTACTGCTGAATTTATTCCTCAAGTCACATAGTGACAAGTTGATATTGCTGAATGAGAAAACAACAACAGCAAAAAAACAATTCAGGAACAATGGCTGATTTTTTTCTTCTTTTTCTTTTTCTTCTAAAGTTAAATTGAGTGCACTCTGTCTTAAAAAAAAATACGTTTACAGTATTGGATACAAGCAAGGGTGAAAAAAATTGTGTGTGTGTGTGTGTGTGTGGAGCAGTCTTTTTTTTTTCCTTTCAAAGTTTGCTTAATCGGTTTTACAAAACTGCCACAGTGGCTGCTTGTACATTGTTTTCCTTGGGTGACGGGGTTTTAGTATATATTATATATATTAAAATTTCTTGATTACTGTAAAAGTGGACCAGTCCTTGTAATAATCGAGAATGCCTGGGCATTGACAAAACAAGAAGAAAAAAAAAACCTAGAAAAAAAAACAAACCCTCTTTCTTTTTTTCCTTGAAAATGTTGCAGTAAAATTTAAATGGTGGGTCTATCAATTTGTTCTTGTCACAGTAACTGTAAAGTCGGAGTTTTAGTACATTTTTTCTGCCTTGGGTGTTGAATTTTTATTTCAAAAAAAATGTATAGAAACTTGTATTTGGGGATTAAAAACGGGATTGCTACACCATGTAGAAAAAGTATGTAGAAAAAAAGTGCTTAATATTGTTATTGCTTTGCAGAAAAAAATTACATTTCTGACTTGTACTTATTTTTCTCTTCCCGCCTCCCTCTGGAATGGATATATTGGTTGGTTCATATGATGTAGGCACTTGCTGTATTTTTACTGGAGCTTGTAATTTTTTAACTGTAAGCTTGTCCTTTTAAAAGGGATTTAATGTACCTTTTTGTTAGTGAATTTGGAAATAAAAAGGAAAAAAAAAAACAACAAAAACAAACAGGCTGCCATAATATATTTTTTTAATTTGGCAGGATAAAATATTGCAAAAAAAAATTTGTATGTGAAGTTCCTATTGTACAGGAGAAATCGGGTTGTGTACACCCTTGGGGGCAGAGAAGCAACAGGCAGCCAGTCCTTGGCTGTGTTGGTTCACAGGTCATGTGAGTTGTATATATTTTTGTCAGGCTCGGCCTACCCAGAGAACTGTGGGCACTGGGAGCATCGCTCGCTCGGGGGCAGGGGGGGCCAGACCTTGGGGTGAGGTTCCCCAGTGGGGTCCCAGCCCTAGCGGAATCTGTGCTCCGTGCCCTTGGGATATTGTGTTGTTGCAAAGATGTTGGTACATTTCACTCTTCCCTCCCTCTCCGAGGCCCTGGCAGGGGTCAGGCGACAGCAGGAGAGCCTCTCTGTTCTCTGGCGACACCATCCAGGCGGCAGCCCCGCCACCACTACCACCTCCTCTTCCTTCTCTCCTCCCCACCCACCCCCTCCCACCATGAAGAATAGAAAAAAATCGCAAGCAAATTGGGGCTACTTCAAGCCTTGACAAGGAGGTTTTAAAACGTCTGGTGTGGGGATAGAATAGGAGCGGGTGGACTGGCTCGGTCCAGCTGCCAATGTCTGCTGTCCAGGCCTGTGCCAGCCCAGTACCGGAAGGGCAAGGCCAGGGCCACTGTCCGGATCCGTCTCCACAGGGCCCACTTCATCCCAGGAAGGGCTCTGCTGCCACCCGACTTTCTCAGCCACTCGCTTCTTCCCTCGGAACCTGCCTTTGGGTCGTTGCTGAGGGCCGGCCCAGGTCCCGTCCCGTGTCCCTGTCTCTCCCCTGGGGTCTTCTCTTCCCACCTCCTGCCCCCCTCTCAGCCCCTCCTCGTCTGTCCTCATTTTTTCTCATTTTCGTTTCTCTCCGGCACCCTGCCTCTTTGGCCTCCTTTCGGGAAAGCCAAGT